ACCACACTACAGAACCCGACTCCAAACCTCTATACTTCTTTAAGAACAAAAGTGAATTTTAAGTTTAAGTGAAAAAGTGGTATATATCGCAAGCAAGATTATATACCTAATAATTATTTTAAATAATGAAGGCCTTACTTTTGTCTATTTTTTCTAGATTTGCAAATAATGGTTTAAATCCAGGATCTGCAACTAAAGTCCAAGGACAAGTTTGGCCCACCACTTACTTTTGAAAGTGAAGTTTTATCTAACATCGTCACATCCTTTTATTTACATATGTCTCTTGCTACAAAAGCAGGGTGGAGTAGTCATAGCCAGCAAAGACAAAAATATTGACCACCTGACATTATATAGAACAATTTACCAATCTCTGTTCTAAAAAGAAATTTACTAACAACCAAGTGTATTTATCTCTCCACTGGGGCTAAATTGGATTTATTTGGGGCAGTATGGCAGCCTCAATAATTTAGACTTTGTATACCAGACAGAAATAAAATCTAAAACATGGTCAACATAAAAATGCCTAGCAAAGCAACACAAACAGTAAATCTAAAGAAAATGGCTCTCTATTTATCTGCAGGCTTTAGGCATTCTGAGCAGATGATTCAACTCAGTTCTTTACGCCTATTAAATGAAAGAGAGGAAATAGTCGCCAACTCATTATAAGAATCAGATTAGTGATACAGTTTGAATACTTTCTACTTTTTTTTCTTTTTTACAACTAAAAATCATCAAAATTCTAGCCTCTAACAAATCCCACCTTCACTCCTAGCATAAATCGAGTCAAACACAAAACCAATCAGTCCCCCTGATCAGCTGTTATATCACATTTCAGGAACATACGAGATACACATTTACTGTGCAAGTCTGTTTAGATGAAATTGTATCCAGGCTTCCATTTTGGTGATGCCTCCAGGAAGCTATGCAAAATTTATTCTTTGAAGCTTGGAAAAAAGCCTCCCAGAGACAATCTATCTGGACTGCTTTCAATTTCCAACAGGAAATCATGCAAACATTGATTATAGATATACCTCATTGCAGAAAATTTTTGCATTACATTCAATTTCTATTAATTAAACCTAGATGTGGCACCCAGTGCTGCGGAAGCAGGATCCAATAGTCTTTCCAAATCACTGTTCTGAACTTTTCCCTGCTACACTTGTGGAAAGACAAGCAATGAAGCCATTAAGTGCTCCTCTATGTAGCCAGAGCCTAGAAACATTAATCTGGTTTGAACTGGACCTGTATATTGTTTACACATTGCCAATTTTGCATAGTCATCATAATTAGATTTATGTTTCTTTGGGGTACCTTTGGGAAGGTTAATGGAATTACGGTCAGGGGGAGTTTAGGTTTTCTGCACCCCAACCGATGCCTTTCATTCCAAGCTTATGGGGAAAGGGGAGGAAGGGAGTTGGTTGAGAGAGGTAAATAATTCTCCGAAGAGATCGGAAATGCATGAAGTGTATCATTCTGATTCTTAACAGAGCAGTAGGTTTTAGAAGGCTAAAAATCACTGACATAATTTTCCTTAATATTGAACAACAGTCTTAATCAGGATCCACTCTGACTTCTTCATGCACTTTGTATCGTAATTTAACCATTAAAACAAAATCACATGGCTCTGTACTCACGAAATATACAGATTCAAATCTCTTCTTTTAAGTATAGTGAAACTAAACTCAGGTAAACAAAGGAAAGTCTTGGGTTGGTTTTGTGGACTCACCTCTGGGATGTTACCTTGCAGAGTAATTTCTTGGAGGCAGCAGCTTTAGTGTGAGGTGATATAAAGGAAATAGGCAGAAAGGTAGGTAGGAATAAATGAGTTGAAAGATTTTTCACAATTTCTACACAGCTCTGCACTATAACTTTACCCCCTTACATGTCAATCTAGTACGCCAACCTCCTCATTATGCACCTGCCTGTCCTGCATCCGGAAGGAGAAGGCATCATGAGGGCAATGTGGAAGTTAAACTCCAAATGGAGATGCCATGAAACGCCCCAAAACACTAAACCCAGCCCAAACACTGCCCATTTGTCTATTCCATTAGGGGATCACCGCCTATCCCATAAAATATGCTATCACAAGTGAGCAACCCTTTTGCCTTTTTGGCTTCTTGCCCTTTCTGTTGGCCCTTCTCTCTGTCCTTTTCTCATCCTCTCCTCATAGGCAATTTTCTGGCCCACTCATGACAGGTATCTCTCCAGGATAGGTTACCCATACTCATTCATTAATGTATATATCTATCTCACTATAAATAAATCCTGCTCTCACTTCTGTACTGTACTTAGGCTTCTACTTTGAATTCTTATCTCTGTTGGGGCAAGAGCTTGGAATAAAAATTGAAATGCATATTCCCAAAACACCAGGCTCTCAGTCACTGGGAAAACTACACTGATGGCATAGGTAACTAGGAGGTCATGTATAAGAAGAAATAGCTCTTTGTGAGATATCTTTGAGGCAATAATTTAACCCACATCCTAACTATAGAACCATTTAAGTCATCCTCAGAAAAATAGCATTTTCATTTTTTTAAACATTTATAATCTGAAAGCACATATGATAGAATCTCTACATATTAGTTACTAATAATAACTACTAATATTTATTGAGTAAAAGGTATGTGATAGGGATACTTGTAGGGATTTTTAACATTTGCCAGATTTACAATAGCAATCTTATCTATGAAGGATTTGATCAAATTGGTAAAGCTATAAAATTTCAGTCACAAATTCACCTTGACAAAGCATGGAAAAGCAAGGAAAAATAAGCAAAGGTCACCTTGATGAAAATTCATTAACAAGGCACACACAGGAGTTTTCCTAATTATCATTAAATGATTTAGGAATTTTTCCAAATGAATATAGCTGCTGTTCTTTTGCAAATAAAGAAGTGAGAAAATATAGAATTTTTAAGCAAGTCTAGGAATTTCTGCCTATCATAAACTTCCATTTATTGATCACTTTCTGTGCACCAGGTGGTTTAATTCAGTTCAGTGTTTCCAAGCCCTCACAAGCATACAGGCTCTGTATTATTTTATTCTGTTTTATACACAAGGGATCTTAATATTTGCCCAAGGTAGCATGACTAACAAATGACCCAGTTGGGCTTTCAACTCAGGATGGATGTCCCCACTTTTGGCCTCATTCTCTGCGTCAACTCTGTTCACACAGCTGGTAAATGCCTTGTGATATGCAGAAGTTTCCACTATGAACAATAGACAAAAAGGCATATCATTTAATTTGCATAAATGAAGCTAAGCCCAGCGATTTTCATTTGCATGCAAATCTCCTTAACCCAAACTATCAAAATTATTAATCTTTCAGAAAGACAATTAAGATACCTGTACTATAATCAAAAGATATTTTCCTTTTTAAGTGAGAACATGGGAGCCATCAGAAGACAAAGATGTTATAACTTTGACACCATTTTTGCTCTAGAAAGGCAAACCAAATGTGGCATAGCAGGTATAGCCACTGCCTGCAGTGCAGGTATCCCATTAGGGTACCAGTTTGAGTCCCGTCTGCTCCATTTCCAATCTAGCTCCTTCTATGGCCTGGAAAAGCAGTAGATGATGGCCCAAGTCCTTGGGCCCCTGTACCTGCATGGGAGACCTGGAGGAAGCTCCTGGCTCCTGGCTTCGGAACTGTGCAGCTCCAGCCATTGCGGCCAATTGAGGAGTGAATTGGTAGATGGAAGACCTCTCTCTCTCTCCCTCTCCCTCTCCCTCTCCCTCTCCCTCTCCCTCTCCTTCTCCTTCTATGTATCTCTGACTTTCAAATAAATAAATACCACAGTGCTGTTTAGAACATCTGCCATTCTATGAGTCTGCTGTGTATCACACTTCCCATGTTGGATCATTCCCTCCATTTTAATTCTATCAGTTAGTATTAGCAGACACTAGTCTTGTTTATGTGATTCCCACTCTTATATTTAACAGAGATCACTTTTTAGTTAAATTTAAACACGTAAGAATAATTGTGTGTAAACTAAAGAGTTCAACCAATAGTATTAAATAGAACAACAACAACAAAAATACTAAAAGGGATAAAGTATTAAGTTGTTCTTCGACCGTCTGGACAAGGGTTGATCAAGTCATTCTTTCTCATAGTGTCCATTTCACTTCAACAGGTTTCCTTTTTGGTGCTCAGTTAGCTGTCACCGATCAGGGAGAACATATGATATTTGTCCCTTTGGGACTGGCTTATTTCACTCAGCATGATGTTTTCCAAATTCCTCCATTTTGCTGAAAATGACAGAATTTCGTTTTTTACTGCTGTATAGTATTCTATAGAGTATATATTTCATAATTTCTTTATCCAGTCTACTGTTGATGGGCATTTGGGTTGGGTCCAGGTCTTAGCTATTGTAAATTGAGCTGCAATAAACATTAAGGTGCAGACAGCTCTTTTATTTGCCAAATTAATTTCCTTTGGGTAAATTCCAAAGAGTGGGATGGCTGGGTTGTATGGTAGGGTTATATTCAGGTTTCTGAGGAATCTCCAGACTTAAATAGTGGCTTTACCAGTTTGCATTCTCACCAACAGTGGTTAGTGTCCCTTTTTCCCCACATCCTCACCAGCATCTATTGTTGGTAGATTTCTGCTTGAGAGCCATTCTAACTTGGGTGGGGTGAAACCTCATTGTGGTTTTGATTTGCATTTCCCTGATTGCTAGTGATCCTGAACATTTTTTCATGTGTCTGTTGGCCATTTGGATTTCCACTTTTGAAAAATGTCTATTGAGGTCCTTGGCCGATCTCTTAAGTGGGTTGTAAGACACTGTGGAAAAAAAAAAAAAAGAAAAAGAAAGATCTCTGTGAGTGAGATCCCAGTAGAAAGAACAGGCCATCAAAGAAGGAGGTAACTTTCTCTGAAGTGAGGAGAGAACTTCCATTTTGACTATGACTTTGTCTATAAATTTCCAAAGTACAGCTTATGGATTACAATGGCTCCCCCCCCCCACAACTTCCCTCCCACCTGTGACCCTCCCATCTCCCGATCCCTCTCCCATTCCATTCACATCAAGATATATTTTCAATTATCTTTATATACAGAAGATCAATTTAGTATATATTAAGTAAAGATTTCAACAACTTGCACCCACACTGAAACATTAAGTGTAAAATACTGTTTGAGTACTAGTTATAGCATAAATTCACATTGAACAACATATTAAGGGCAGAGATCCTACATGAGAAGTAAGTGCACAGTGACTCCTGTTGTTGACTTAACAAATTGACACTCTTGTTTACGGCGTCAGTAATCTCCCTAGGCTCTTGTCATGAGTTGCCAAGGCTATGGAAGCCATTTGTATTCGCCGACTCCGATCTTATTTATTTATTTATTTATTTTTGACAGGCAGAGTGGATAGTGATAGAGAGACAGAGAGAAAGGTCTTCCTTTACCGTTGGTTCACCCTCCAATGGCCACTGTGGCTGGCGCTCTGCGGCCGGCACACTGCGCTGATCCAAAGCCAGGAGCCAGGTGCTTCTCCTGGTCTCCCATGTGGGTGCATGGCCCAAGGACTTGGGCCATCCTCCCCTGCACTCCCGGGCCACAGCAGAGAGCTGGACTGGAATATCGGCAATGGGGACGTAATCCGGTGTCCCGACCAGGACTAGAACCTGGTGTGTGGGTGCCGCAGGCGGAGAATTAGCCTATTGAGATACGGCACCAGCCCCGATTATATAGTCAAAGTGGAAGTTCTCTCCTCACTTCAGAGAAAAGTACCTCCTTCTTTGATGGCCCATTCTTCCCACTGGGATCTCACTTACAGAGATCTTTCATTTAGGTTGGTTTTGTTTTTTTTTGTTTTGTTTTGTTTTTTGTTTGTTTGGGTTTTTTTTGCCAGAGTGTCTTGGCTTTTATGCCTAAAATATTCTCATGGGCTCTTCAGCCAGATCCAAATGCCTTAAGGGCTGATTCTGACACCAGAGTGCTGTTTAGGACATCTGCCATTCTCTGAGTCTGCTGTGTATCCCGCTTCCCATGTTGGATCGTTCTCTCCCTTTTTAATTCTATCAGTTAGTATTAGCAGACACTAGTCTTGTTTGTGTGATCCCTTTGACTCTTAGACCTATCAGTGTGATCAATTGTGAACTGAAATTGAGCACTAGGACTAGTGAGATGGCCTTGGTACATGCCACCTTGATGGGATTGTATTGGAAACCCCTGGTATGTTTCTCACTCTACCATTTGGGGCAAGTCCAATTGAGCATGTGCCAAACTGTACATCTCACATCTCCTCCCTCTCTTATTCCCACTCTTATATCTAACAGGGATCACTTTTCAGTTAAAATTTAAACACCTAAGAATAATTGTGTGTTAATTACAGAGTTCAACCAATAGTCTCAAGTAGAACAAAAAAAAATACTAAAAAGGATAAAGTATTAAGTTGTACATCAACAGTCAGGACAAGGGCTGATCAAGTCACTGTTTCTCATAGTGTCCAAAAAGGAAACCTGAAGGTCTTTTTTTTAAAAAAATGCAAAAACCAGAAAGAAATATCTTTGTGGTACAGCAGGTTAAGCTGCCACCTGCAAGCATCAGCATCCCGGTTCCTGTCCCAGCTCCTCTGCTTCCAATTCGGCTCCCTACTAATGATCTAGGATAAGCAGTGGAAGATGACCCCAGTGTTTCGGACCCTAGCACCCATGTAGAGACCTGGGAGAAGCTCCTGGCTCTTGGCTTCGGCCTGGTCCAGCCCTGACTGTTGTGGCCATCTCGGGAGTGAACCAGCAGATGGAAGATCTCTATCACTCCCTTTCTGTCTTTAACTCTGACTTTCAAATAAAAATAAATCCCCTCCAAAAAATAAAAATGAAAAACCTATGACAGAAGCAATATATTCAATCATTAAGATTTTATAATAGTGCCCCTTAACTCGATCCAAAGTTTTCAACTTCATTCCATCTAATGGATCCATGCGTATAAAACAAATGGCCCATAAGTGGAAACTATTACATTTTGTTCTTATTAATCTCCACATGAAATTCATTTCTTCATTCATTTATGAATATAATAAATCAACCACTACAGACTTAGCACTATCTGTGACTTTGATATGTACAAAAATCATATATAAATTTTTGTCACATTATAAATAGTACAGATACAGCAAAATATCACTTGTTATCATCACTATTTTGAAAAATACAGGTTATTAGAACTAACTGAATTTTGTTATTTAATATATGAATAATGAAGTATGTATTTTTATTTCTTTATTTTTAATGCTAACACCTGCATTTCAATGTAAGTAGTTTACTTTATTGTGTATATATTTTATAATATATACATAAAAATAGAATGCTAAAAAGGGAACCAGACTCCTACAAGAAGTCAAAGGGTGTATGGCTCAGAAAAGTTTGGGAAGCCCTGCCTTATATGGTGAGTTCATTTATTATATTTATTTTCTTTTTTACCAGGATAGCAAAGGATCACAAGATATCATTATAACTATGGAAAAGGTTCCTCTAGGTTAGAAGACAAATTTTGCATGTAATAAATTTGACATGCCCTGCTTTTTCCAGGAATAAAAGCATCAACATAGTTCCACAGGCACATTACATAAGCTATAAGCCTGGAAATCATTAGCTGGATACACTTCATATGTCATCGTGGCCAACATGTTAGCAGAGAATCTATGCTTAAAGCAATCTAACTTAGTAATTTAGGACATCAATCACTGTGGATTGGGAGTATAGTACTAGATCCACCATGGTACTAAGTCTTTGAGAAATCTAAAGGAGGAGCAACAAATGTGATGAGTGAGACAGAGAGAATGACTTACAGGGTAAGTTGGATAGCTGCATCAGTAAACAATGAAACAGTCATGCATAGATATCAGGTATGGCCCAACCTTTAACATTCAATACCAAACAATCATTTGAGTCATATATCCCCAAAACTAAGGGATAAGGGGAAAACAGCAAACAAAGTTAAGAAATTGTATATAAAATACAGCTCATTTTAAAGTTTTTTAAAAGACATATTTTCTTAAAAGTTTGCAGTACTTTACTTTTGAAATAAGAAACATTATTTTCATCATCAAGAAACTGTAAAAACCCCACAGCTAAATGTGTGTATATGTGAATATATTTGTTCTATTATCCATAAACATTCAATGAGAAAGATAAGTCCACTTAATTTATATGGAAAAGATTCTCTGAACAAACACAAAACTATCTTAAGAAGATACAAATATACCTCTTATACCTCTAATACATAAATAAAAGCATACAAAAAATAAAGTTAACCTTGAGTGAAGTTGTGACCCTGGGTTGCAGACCTGGAAACACAGGGACTAATTTGCATAAATTTTTATTCACTTATTTGAAAGGCAAACAGGTTGAGGAAGAGGGATTGGTGGAGGGGGAAGAGGAGAGGCTGAAGCCAAGAGCTGGGAACTCAATCCAGGTCTCCCACATGTAGCAATGATCCAACTATTTCAGCCATTACCTGCTGTCTTCCAGGGAACTGATTAGTATAAGGTTGGAATCAGGAGCAGAGCCAGGACTCAAACACAAGCACCCTGATAAGTGGTGCAAGCATTCCAAGCAGTGTCTTAACCCCTGGGCCAAACACCTGCCCTAATGAGTCTTAGAAATTTGGAGCAACATTGACCATGAAGTGACTTATCATATGCATCTCTATATTCTGGGTACCAACACACTAGTAAGAAGTGCCACCTAGATTGCTATAGGTGATGGTATGAACATAAAGGACCAGTTAAGACACTGCTCAATATGCAACTTTCCACATAACTCTGGCTTCCTGCTAATGCAGACCCTGGGAGGTAGAGGTGATAGCCAAAATAATCAGGTTCCTGCCACAGACATGGCCCAGCATGGCCCTAGCAGAGGCAGGCATTTGAGAAGTGAACTAGTAGATGGGAAATCTCTCTCACTTGCAGTCTCCCTGCCTCTCAAATAAACAAGCATATCTCTTTTTAAAATATTTATTTATTTATTTGAAAGAGTTACAGAGAGAGAGGAGGAGAAAATGAGATGTCTTCCATCCACTGGTTCACTTCTCAAATGGCTTCAAAGGCCAAGGATGGGCCAGGTGGAAGCCAGGAGCCAGAAGCTTCATCTGGGTCTCCAATGTTAGTATAGCAGTGCAAGGACTTGAGCCATTTTCCACTGCTTTCTCAGGCAAAACAGCAAGGAGCTAGATTGTAAATAGAGCAGCTGAAATTCGAACTAGTGCCCATATGGAGTGCCAACATCACAGGTGGCAGCTTTACCCACTATGCCACAGTGCTGGCCCCCAAACATATCTTTTAAAAAACATAAAATCTGTAGCCACTGGTAACCAATTTCCAGTCACATGGCAAAACTATTCTTCTGAGGAAATGAAAGAAGCCAACATAAAAAAAGAATCAGATACAAGTTCCCAGGAAATCACCTGGCTGCTATAAATCCCAACTTTGAATACCAGGGAGGGCCTGGGAATCCCTATCCCAGTTGAGATCTGGATTTTCACCCTTGGCTTGGATGTGTGTAAGTAGCATCTTGGCACAAACTACATAAAAATTAAATTCTATCACTTGAATCCTGTCCTGATTACTGTACTGAAAATACCAGTGTTTTATGATTCCTGAATTTCTTTCATCTCTGCCAAAAAGGTATAAACAAAACAACTTTTAAGTTTCATGGCTTTGTGCTGTGAATATTAAAATACAGAATCCACTTCAGGCAATGAACTTCAACCTAAGAGAACTCAAAATGTTGGTTGGCTATTTAAAAGAGAGAAATAAATTTAGCCTTAACTTGGATAAAGTGATCAAATCTAATTCTAGATACTGATTTTAATGAGGTAATGATAGTAAAGAAACCACACTTATTTCTATTCTAAAGAATCTGCTACTTTAAGCACTCTAGAAAAGATGCTGAAAGTTAATTGGAGGCAATTTTAAAAGAAGTAATTAAAGTGCCAATTTCAGATTTTCCCTCTTTGTTTTATTTCTACACTGTGTTTAATTGAACTTGCTGAGCATTTAATTGATGGCAATATCAAACAGTATGTCAAAGTCAATTTCTTTCTCTTTTCATCAATTTCAAAATCTTTAATTCAACTGCAAATGCATGCAATATACTGAATTAATCTTAGAACCATACTAAAGTTCAAATGCCAACTCATGAATTTTAAAATTCATGATGTTTCTCACACTCATCTTCACCTTCCTCTTCCCCAGAAGAGATTATGCCTTGATACATAAATGCCTTTAGTAAATTACAATACATTTGCTTTCCACAAGGGTGTTGGAAATTCATAAGATTTCCCAACTATTTTCATGTGTCAATGCCACTGAAGAAGGCAGAAAAGCTTAAGTAATTAGTTTTAAAAATAAGCCCTTAAGTTGAAATTAAAACACAATTTTTCCCCTCTGGATATCACCCATGATGAATATTTTAATTTAAGGTAAATCATTGCTTCACCAAAGTAATCCTCCACTTAACTCTCACATTTTTTGGATGAAATATGACTTGCTAGTTAGCATTGTATTGATTTGTCATCATGTGCTATCTCCCTTATTGGACTAGGAAGTCATTGAGGGCTGTGGGTGGTTTATACTCATAGGATCTCTGTTGTTTCCACAGCACCTAACCCACTGCTTTTATTATATAGCGTTTGAGAAAATAAAACTCATTTGCAAAGCCAATCAATTTCTCATTAAGTTAGTACAATGCTGGAAGAGATACCAAGTGCCTTCACTCAATCAGTATCTACCTAAACTCTGCTTAGACAAGCCTCCCTAACTAAGCATATTTGGCACTTTTTTTATATGGTGTGATCTAAATACCCAGAAAAGTTCATTTGCTCCCCAGCACTCAGAAGGCTGTGCAGCAAATGTGTGCACACATATAACATATGTACTTAGAATTTCTCCCTAAAATGAGGGAGAAAAGTCCATCATTTATTCATACATCAATTTGAGTTACTTCGGTCAAGTTATTTTCCACAGTCTCAGGAATTAGGATAATAAGGGTTTTATAAGCCAAATATCCTGCATGCATTTAATCTAATAGGAATAGAAATTCACCTATTATTTTTAGGAGCACAGCTGGTTTATCCTCATATATATAAATGTTTAAGATTTTGACTTAATAATCCAAAAGTTGTAGTTTAAGCAAATAATTTTTTAAATAATAAAGTGAACAAAGACATGTATAACAGCATTTTACAAAGGGATATATAAAAATAAACCAACTTATCAATAACAGAAAAACTGGGTTTTTGACTTTAGTTTTTAATGAACTTGTTAATCAAACAAGCTTCCATTTCAAAACAAAACCCCAGATTATATAGTTGTTCACAGTGATTCATTTATCTAAGTAATATACATACTCTGTTGTAGTATGTTAACTAAATTCCCTGTGATAAATAAAATGTTTCTAAAGAAATGCCAATCTTCACTTTAGATGCTGTAATTTATCATAGGTAAGTAGGCAGTGTCTTTTTATATGTCAAATACTAGGATCACAAGAAGCCAGTCATTTTAAGAATGTTTTAAGGGAACAGCTTGCAAATTCCAGGGGTGTTAAAACCCTAAGAATGTGCAATTGTAAGAATTTCCAACCATCACAAGTATGGCTGAAGACTCTTCATGCCGTTCTTTGGAAATGAGATCTCAAAGCAGTGTAGTTCAAAATGCAAAGTGTTTACTGAGACAAAATGTGTATGTACAATTTCTCTAACAATTTGTATCAATCATATAGTTATCTTTTCCACTTGAAAAAATGCAAGACAACCAGACACCATGATTCACTATCTCACTTAATATTCACAATCACAATGCTACATACTTGATAATCAGAATCACAATGCTACCCAGAACCAGTTAAAATTGAAATTAAATCCTCTACATCAAGTAAATGGTTGTCCACAAGCACTAGCTAGTGTTGCAAACTAAAATTTCTGGATTTGGGAAGAAACAAATGCTGTTCTGATCATATGATCCACTTGTTCTGCTCCACAATTCATACTTAGAAATTTGGGGCCGTGGGTCTGCTGAACCTGCCCACTGGAAGAGACTACTTGCTATGCTACCTTCTGCTTCAACATTGTCCAATCAAATGTGTAGTCATATTGGTGGTTCAGGGTCCTGAAAAGGATGCGGAAGAGCTGCCTCAGATACATGTAATCAGGGACTTCTTCAAAGCGCAGCCCACGACAATAGTTTAAATACATGGAAAACTCTGCAGGAAACCCCTTACATAAAATTTCCACAGGAGTGGACATCTTCTTTTCACTAATCTTTTCATATTTTTGTTTCTTTGTTGCAGCCTTCAGTCCTTGCCATGGCAGGCTGGTTCTATTAAAATACATCAAAACGTATCCTAATGCTTCCATGTCATCCCGGCGACTCTGCTCAATACCGAGATGCGCATTGATGCTGGCATACCGCGCAGTGCCAGTGAAGCTCTTATTTTCTCTGTACGGTATGTGTTGCCTGGTCCTGTTGTCTCGGTACTTTTTGGCCAAACCAAAATCAATAAGGAATAACTTATTACAGTGCCGTCCAATGCCCATGAGGAAGTTATCTGGTTTAATGTCTCTGTGTATAAAATTCTTTGTATGCACATATTCAATTCTGCTGATCATCTGGTCAGCCAACATAAGGACAGTTTTCATTGTGAACTTCCTTGAACAGAAACTGAAGAGGTCCTGGAGGCTGGGTCCCAGAAGATCCAAGACCAAGGCATTATGGTCTTTCTCCGGACCATACCACCGTATGTGCGGGATGCCGACCCCACCCTGAAGAATCTTATAGACTTTGCTCTCGTACAGCAACTGGGAATGCTTGGCCTTCAGAGATTCTAGCTTCACTGCCACTTCCTCGCCGTTGGTGATGTTAATCGCCAGATAAATGTCCCCAAAGGACCCAGACCCGATCTTCCGGACCAGTTTATATTTCCCTCCGACAATTAGTTTGGCCCTGGAGTCGCTGCTGCTCGCCATCCTGAGATAAAGATGGAGGCCGAGGCCAGGCCCCCACACTTCCGAGGGAACGACGGAAGCCTCTGTGCCTTGTCTGTGGAGAAGGCTGTGGAGAAGGACAGCAGGAAGCGAAGAACGGAGGCCTTTTCCTGCTTTAGAGGGCCCTGAATTGGCCAAGGGAAATGCAATCACAGAGCGCAGTCAGGGTTTTTTGCCAGGCCGCCATTTGTGACGGGTGCTGACAGTCACTAGGTTGGGCCACTTGTTTCTGGGCGGCCGCGGCCGCCTCGCTTTCTCAGTGACATCACGGGTTGAAAAGGGGGCACAATGAAGACAACAAAATGCTGAGGACCACTGCCTCCCGCTCCTGCCACAAGGACTCTTCTCCCCGCACCATGGCGGCCATCTTCTTTACTCCCGCTGCAGCCCACCCAGAAGGCGCCCAGGCCTGGGGAGCAACTTCCGCAAGGCACCAGGCCTGCCAGGAAAGGTATCTTGGGCTCTTAGTCGTGATGGGATGGCCCAGAAAATTGTTAAATAAGGTTTATATAATAATCTGATAAGCACTCCTATGTCTAAGATATGAAAGGGACACGTGTTAACAACATTAAAATTTTTTTTTAATTACAACCAAAAATTTCAGGGATTTGCCAATTGAGAGTCAAAAACAGACTACATACAACTCATAAGGTTATCGGAATCACAAATTCATTTGCTACCATGGAAAAATTATTTCAAAATTAATAAAAGTGATTAAATTTGTGAAAAGATTGATGTAAGAGCAAAGGAGTCAATGAAAATTTATATTTACTAGGTAGAACAGAGGTGGCCTAGGCAAATGTTCCAGGGAGGATTTGAGTTGCCCATGGGAGAAATCTCTGGGCAAGAAGGTAGAAGACTGCAAAATCACAGCAAACAATTTCAGTTGCTGGCTGAGTTTGACCTGCCTAAAGCAATTCAGAATGGCAAGGATCTTCCTTACAGCAGATTTTATAACCTCATTGAGAATGTCATAAGTCTCTATTTATTCTTTTATTTTCTCAAATTCCTTCATGTTGTTAAGACTTGTGTGATTACTTTTACCTGAGAAGAAATAATGATTTAACTAATATTCATCCTTGGCCCAAATCCCTTTTGTACATTTAGTAGTATCTGGGAATATGCATCTAAGTTTTCTTTCAAAGAATAGGAAAACACCAGCCTTGATTTTTTTAGACAGAGGTGACTTCAATGCAATAAGAACAAAATCATTATGAGGAAAGGCATTATTCTGTGTAAATCTTTAATATGAATATATAAATTTATTTTAGCAACACAACAATCATGAAGTTAATAACAGTTATTTCTCTTATTCTTCAGATTAGGAAGCCAAGGAACAAAGAAATTCATCATCCAATATTTTACAACTTAGTTCCAGAAGAGCTAGAATCAATGATCTAATGAATAGCCTCCCACTCACTTTCAACGGTGCCTATGTTTAGTCTTTAATTCCCTTCTGTTAAAAAAAAAAAAATCACAGGTCTTAAGCACGCATTACGGCTCATTGGGTTAAGTCACTACTTGTGAAACCAACATGGTTTGAGTCCCAACTGTCCTACTTCCACTCCAGCTCCCTGCTAATGTACCTGGGAAGGCAGCAGAAGATGGCTCAAGTACTGGGACCCCTGAAATACATGTAGGAGACTTGCATGAAGTTCCTGACTCCTAGCTTTGGCCTGGCCTATTCTCAGCCATTGCAGCTATTTGGGGAGTAAACTAGCAGATGTAAGATTTCTTTATCTCTGTGTCATCTGCCTTTCAAATAAATAGATCTTAAAAAATGCATCTTATATTAAAGTGTTATCTGTTGTTTCTATATGTTGATTGGTTATTCTTAAGCCATCCCATTAAAGGAAAATTTCTAATACTTGAGTAAAATAATGCTAAAAAAATTTCTTTAAATCATGAGTCTTGGGAACATTAAATTGATAGATGATAGATGACAGGTATATAGATAGTAAGAGTGATCCCCTGATAATCAGCTGCTTGCTAGTTGCAGATTCTCCAAAATCTGAGATGAGAAGTAGCTATGGTACAGTGTATATATGCAGTTAAACTCACTAATGCTGAAGACGAGTTACTTCTCTTAATGTAAACTGTTTTCTCAGATATTCCTAAGTCTTCTTTTCCTCACGTATTTTTTAAAATTTTCTATTAAAAAAGAGAAGAGTAGAGTAAGATGGTAGCTGAATAAAATACCCCAGCAATTATTTCCCCACAGAGACCCAAATGAAAACAGCTAGTGAAATACCAAGACACCTTAACAAGAGCCAAGGAAGCCAGATGAGAGACAACATCTGGTTTACTGTATTTAGTAAAATAATAAGAAAAGACAGATTAAAGGGGCTAGCATTATGGCTTAGTGAGTTTAGCCACTGCCTGCAATGCTGGCATCCCATGTGAGTGTCAGTTTATGACCCAGCAGCTCCACTTCATATCTAGCTCCCTGCTAATGTTCCTGGGAAAGCAGTGAATGATAGCCCAAGTGTCTGAGCCTCTGAAACCCATGTGGAAGACCCACGTACAGTTCAAGTTTCCTGGCTTTGGCCTAGCCCAGCTCCAACCATTGCAGTCATTTGGGGAGTGAACCATCAGATGGGAGATCTCTCTCTCTCTTTCTCTGTCTCTCCTTCTCTCTTAGTCTGCTGTTCAAATAAATCAAAGCTTTTAAAAAAAAAAAGGAAAGAAAAGATATATTAAAGCAGGCATAAATGAAAGAATTGCCTCTCCTAGCTCCAAGCATGGCACTGGGGAAAGTGATGCCTCACCCTCCTGCCTCAGGAAGGGAGAAAGAAAGAATTCAGTCCAGACATTAGAACTGAAACCAATAATCAGGCCCACCTTAGTAAAACTCACAGTCCCTGGTCCCAGGCTTGTATCATCAGTGGATTTTGCTTGAAGCTATGCGCCAGACCTGCCAGGGTGAGACCCAGCACCAGATAGAGTCCAAAAGACCCTATCTCCAGGTCAGTACTCACAGATGAAGCCTCTAGATCTGCCTCATCATCAGGAAGAAACCTTTTAATGACAGAAAAAAAATCATGTTTTTGCCTGTATCATTGCCATCCTCCTTTGGGCCTAGTATGCACCCCAACCCCCCAGAACCTACATAGTCTTCAGAAGCTGTAAGACCCAGGTGTGGATTCAGCTAGTACTAGCCTGGTTGGCCATGGACTTCCTCCACCACCACTCTCCCAGTCTGATAAAGAATTTGAGGAACGAGACCCAAGTCTCTGAAGAGGAAGGGTGAAAGAGGCACAAGACTATGTCTTAGAACTGTGTCAGGCTGGTAAATCTTAACCCTGGGCAAAACCTAGCAGGCTCTGCCCCCAGGCCAGTGGATAGAGTATCAGGACTTACCCCAATGCCAAGTAGACATCTGTAGTGCCAGTCTATCAGACATAGCCCAGATAGCATCAAATGTTTCTGGTTGTAGCAGTCTCCAGCCATGAGTTTACCACAGCAATAAGAAGCCCATAGCAGTGTTGGTCCTACTCCCATGCTGCACTGGTCTTGGTGGGCTGTGACCTCTGACTGTCATCTGCCATTGCATTGTTGGTGGTCACAGGAATGCTTACTACCTTTGTTCTGCAACTTCAGGCAGCATTAACATGGAAGAATAATTATCTACTTATAGAAAGAAAGACGAGGCAGGTACCAAGTCATTTAATTGAAATTTGGGGTTATTGCCTCCACAGTGATGTCCATAGCCAGGCAAAATTCCATAGCTCCAGACCACAGATCATTGACTATGGTTGAGGCAGTTGAGTCTATCCTGGCCCAAGATAGATGCTGGTAGGAACAGACTATCTCATTTTAGACACTAACCCAATTCATTTTGAATAACATACTGACGTCCTCAGGTGCTGAAACAGTGACAATACACCACCAGTAAACTCATAACAAATCTTAATTTACGGTGTCATCTGGTGGTGATTTAGCAGCAGTGGGCACAGGCTTAAAGAAAATCAGCAGATTCCTTAGGATTTCTGGAAGTACAGGCACAAACGAAGCCAGATTATGAAGGGCAAGAAAAATACCTGATCATTCAAATTGCACATGACATCATGTAGAAACAAACATCAAGATCTTTCAGGGGACCATGACCTCACCCAAAAAAAAACAAAACAAGGTGCCATAAATTGACCAGGAGGCAAATTCTCATGTGTAAAATTTAACATAGCTGTTTTAAGGAAACTTGATGAGCTTTTAGATAGCACAGAGAAACAATTTAATTATCTAAGAAAGAATAATTTTAAATAATCAAATAAATCTTTGAGCTGAAAAATACACTAATTGAATTTTAAAAAACAATGGGGCATCAGTTAGATAAAACAAAAATTAATAGGATCAAAGAAAAGCCATTTGAAAACAATCTAAGGGGGAAAAGGGAAAAAAAAAAGGACGAAGAGAAATGAAGAAAGCATTCGGGAATTTGGGGGAAAGCAAAACTTCAAAAACCTAAAAAGAGATCCAGCTATCTAGTTACATATTTGTAAAAATTCACTGGTTTCATATCTCAAGATATAATCATGGGGCTGGCGCCGTGACTCACTAGGCTAATCCTCCACCTTGCGGTGCCAACACACTGGGTTCTAGTCCTGGTCTGGGTGCCGGATTCTGTCCCGGTTGCCCCTCTTCCAGGCCAGCTCTCTGCTGTGGCCCGGGAGTGCAGTGGAGGATGGCCCAAGTGCTTGGGCCCCGCACCCCCATGGGAGACCAGGAGAAGCACCCGAGACTAGAACCCGGTGTGCCGGCGCCGCAAGGTGGAGGACAGCCATTGGAGGGTGAACCAATGGCAAAGGAAGACCTTTCTCTCTGTCTCTCTCTCTCACTGTCCACTCTGCCTGTCAAAAAAAAAAAAAAAAAAAAAAGATATAATCATGCTCTCCAAAGCTAAAGATAAGGAGAGGATTCTTAAAGGTACAAAAGAAGAGAAACAATATATTATGATGTCCTAATTCCCTTGACTGCAAATATCTTCAAAAAATTACAGTCCATAAGAGAGTGGATGAAATTTTCACAATAATGAAGGAAACAATATTCAAAATGTTGCTCCCCACCAAACTATCATTTAGATATGAACAAAATATAAAAAAAAAAAATCCTAGAAAAGCAAAAGCAGAAAGAGTTCTCCAAATCATACCCATCGTATAAGAAAAGCTAAAGAAAGTTCTCAAAACTCAAAGAAGTAAAAAGAAAATATCTAAATATAGTTACTCACTGGTAAGAATAATAAAGACAAATACAGAATGCTCTAATATTGTGGACATAGTACATAAACCATTCATTCCTTTGTTATGAAGACTAGAAATGGGCCTGCACTGTGGCTGTAGTAGGTTAAGCCTCTGCCTATGGTGCCTGCATCCCATATGGGTGCCATTCAAGACCCAGCTGCTCCACTTCTACTCCAGTTCCCTCCTAATGGCCTGGGAAGGCAGTGGAAGATGGCCCAAGTGCTTGGGCCCCTGCACCCAAGTGGAAGACCCAGAGAAAGCTCCTGGCTCCTGGCTTTGGATCTGCCCAGCCTCAGCAGTGGTGACCATTTAGAGAGTGAACCAGCAGATGGAAGACCTCACTCTGTCTCTCCCTCTCTTTCTCTGTAATTCTGCCTCACAAATAAATAAATATATCTTTTAAAAAAGAGACTAAAAATAATTTTTAAAAGAACAATATGTTAAGAAATAGATAATATAAAAGATGGAAAATGGGATATCAAAAACTCAAAATGTGAAGGGTAATGGAATAGAAGTATAGACACTTTTATTAGTACTTTTATTTCTCTTATTTTGTTTCTGTACCAGTCTTATGATGAATGTTAACTTTCTATACTTTCAAAAATAGTTTCTTATAACCAAAAGATGTTTTTGGTAGGAATAATTTTAACTACAAAACAAAAATCAATAATAGACACCTAAGAATAATAAGCAATGCATCCCTACACACTACTAGGAAAAATCACTTAAACACAAAGGAATATGTAAGACAAGGAGAAAGAAAGTAACTATAATAAAACCATAAAACAAGCATCAAATGGCAGTAGTAAGATATTATCTATCTATAAGTACCTTAAATATCAATTAATTAAATTATCAAATTAAATGGCATACATTGACTAAATGGATAAAAACATAAGATTCAACTATATGTTGCTTATAGAAACTCACATCACCTCTAAGGACATGCATAAACTGAGGGTTAAAAGATAGAGTAGGATATTCAAGGCTGTTGGAACCTAAAATAAAACTGGAATGACCATATTTATATGAGATAGACTAATTTTTTTAAGAATAGAGACTAGAAATCATTATGCAATGAAATAGCAAGAGTAAATAACACTTGTAAATGCATTCAATATCACAGCAGCAAATATATAACCAAATATTAATAGACCAAAGGTAGGGATTGACTCTAATACAATAATAGGAGGGCAAATTCACACCCTACTTTCAGCAATAGGCAGATTAGACAGAAAAATCAACAAAGAAATAGCAAAGCTAAATGGCAGCCTAAACCAACTGGATCTAATAGATATTTACAGAACATTTTTTTTTTGACAGGCAGAGTTAGACAGTGAGAGAGAGAGAGAGAGAGAAAGAGAAATGTCTTCCTTTTCTGTTGGTTCACCCCCAAAATGACCACTCCGGCCGGCGCACTACGCTGATCCAAAGCCAGGAACCAGCTGCTTCCTCCTGGTCTCCCATGCGGGTGCAGGGCCCAAGCACTTGGGCCATCCTCCACTGCCTTCCCGGGCCCAGCAGAGAGCTTGACTGGAAGAGGAGCAACTGGGACAGAATCCGGGGTGCCGGCGCCACAGGTGGAGGATTAGCCAAGTGAGCCATGGCACCAGCCTAGAGAACATCCTGTCCAACAAATTCAGAATACACATTTTCCTCAATCACACATAGAACATTCTCCAGGATAGATCATATGGCATGTCACAAAACAAGTCTCAACAAATTTTAAAACAGTGAAATTTTATTTGGTATCTTTTCTGACTAAAATGCAATACAGCCTCTGTCTCTCTCTCTCTCACTGTCCACTCTGCCTGTCAAAAAAAAAAAATGCAATACAGCTAAAACTCCAAAACAAGAAAAATATTGGAAATTATATGAATACATGGAAGTTAAAAAAAACACTCCTGAACAATAAATTGATCAAGGAAGAAATTAGATAATTTCTTGAAACAAATGAAAATGAAAACACAACATATCAAATCATATAGAACACAGCAAAAGTGTTATTAAGAAGGAATTTGGTGACCATCAATGTCTATATTAAGAAAATGTATCTTAAATATCTAAAATATATTGTCTTAATATATTATCTTAATATATCTTAAATATAACGATCTTTACAAACTATCACTGTGCCTCAATGAACTAGAAAGCAGAACAAACCAGACCCAAAATAAATAGAAGGAAAGAAATACTACTATGCCTGTTCTCACCATTATTATTCAATATAGTTCTAGAAGTTAGAGCCAGAGAACCAGTAGGTAAGACAAAGAAATCTAAGGGATACAAATTGGAAAGGAGGAAGTCAAATTATCCCTGTTTGCAGATGACATGATCCTAAAGGAGAACCAAATGATTCCACTAAGTGACTTATGCAACTCATAAGAGAATTCTTCACAGAGCTAGAAAAAAACAATCCTAAAATGCATATGGAAACACTAGAGCTCCAAATAGCCAAAAAAATCTCAAACAATTAAAATAAACCTTGAGGCATCACAATACCATATTTCAAAACATACTACAAGGCTGTTATAATCAAAATAGCTTAGTATTGGCACAAAAATAGACCAATGGAAAAAAACAGGAACCCCAGAAATTAATCCAAGCATCTACAGCCAACTAATATATGACAAACAAGCTAAAATCACTCCCTGGGAAATGTCTCTTCAAGAAATGGTGCTGGGAAAATTGAATTTCCTCATGAAGAAGTTCAAAACAAGACACTTACATCATCTTAGTTAGAATGGATATCATCCAAAAATCAAAAATAGAAAATGCTGGTAAGGGTGTGGAGAAAAAAATAATCCTAATATACTATTGGTGGGAATATAAACTGGTGCTACCATTATGGAAGACAGTATGAAAATTCCTCAAAAAGCTAAAAGCAGACCTATCATATGACCAAGCTATCCCACTCCTGGAAATATATCCAAAGGAAATAAAATCCATATATGAAAGAGTACCTTCACCCCCTTAACAGAAACCCTTATTTATCTGTACACCTAAGTATATTTCTTGGTGTATATATATATATATATATATAGTATTTTAATAAAATGTGTTTTAAAAGAAAGAAATACCAGAAATATCTCACTTCCCATGTTGGATCACTCTCCCCTTTATTTATTCTATCGGTTAGTGTTAGCAGGTACTAGACTTGCTTATGTGCTCCCTTTGACTCTTAGTCCTTTCATTATGATCAATTGCGAACTGAAATTGATCACTTGGACTAGTGAGATGGCATTGGTACATGCCACCTTGATGGGATTAAATTGGAGTCCCCTGGTATGTTTCTAACTCTACCATTTGGGGCAAGTCAGCTTGAGCATGTCCCAAATTATACATCTCTTCCCTCTCTTATTACCACTCTTATGTTTAACAGGGATCACATTTCAGTTAATTTTCAACACTTAAGAATAACTGTGTGATAATTACAGAATTAAACCAGTCATATTAAGTAGAACAGACAAAAAAACTACTAAGAGGGATAATGTATACTCAGCAGACTCATAGAATGGCAGATGCCCTAAATAGCACTCTGGCCTCAGAATCAGCCCTAAAGTCATTCAGATCTGGCTGAAAAGCCCATGAGAGTATTTCAGGCATGGAAAGCCAAGACACTCTGGCAAAAGATCTCTGTGAGTGAGATCTCAGTGGAAAGAACAGGTCTTCAAAGAAGGAGGTACCTTTCTCTGAAGGGAGGAGAGAACCTCCACTTTGACTATGACCTTGTCTAAACAAGATAAGAGTCGGAGAACTCAAGGGGCTTCCATAGCCTTGGAAACTCATGACTGGAGCATAGGGAGATTACTGATGCCATAGACAGGAGTGTCAATTGGTAAAGTCAACAACAGGAGTCACTGTGCACTTACTCCTCATGTAGGATCTCTGTCCTTAATGTGCTGTGCATTGAGATTTAATGCTATAATGAGTACTCAAATAATATATTTCACTTTGTGTTTCTATGGGGGTGCAAACTGTTGAAATCTTTACTTAATGCATACTAAACTGATCCTCTGTAAAAAAAAAAAAAAAAAAGAAAAGAAAAGAAACTATCAACTCCCAACTTGACTCTCACTGGGATTAAACATGACAATAGGTCTGATCTGATTTCATCATCATTAAAAAAAATCATCTATTATTTTTCACTTTATGTTTCTGTGTGGGAGCAAACTGTTGAAATCCTTACTTAATGTATACTAAGCTGATCTTCTGTATATTAAGATAATCGAAAATGAATCTTGATGTGAATGGAAGGGGAGAGGGAGTGGGAAAGGGGAGGGTTGTGGGTGGGACGGTATGGGGGGGAAGCCATAGTAATCCATTATTCGTACTTTGGAAACGTATATTCATTAAATAAAAGTTAAAAAAAAAAAAAAAAAAAAAGAAATGGGCAAAAAAAAAAAAAAAAAAGAAATACCAGAAATAATAATATAAATAAATGAAATAAAGACAAACAGTGCAAAAGATC